GTCTTGGATGTAATAAAGACATTTATTACTAATTATTGTTTTCTTGGGGAGATTCCATATAACATTTGATAATCAGGCGTAATCTTGCTAGTATCTTATATTTGTAGGAGACTTACTGACCTTTACACACAGTCATGAGAGTCTACTACAGTCTTTTTTGTGCAATTTTCTGTAATTTTATTTATTTTATCATGATAAATATTTAGGCTTAAGCAAGAATAAGAACAACCCCTCCCAGGTGTCCGTCCTCCTCCTGAGCCGCCTCCCAAGTTCCCACCCGCCCCTCCCCATGTAGTTTCTACGGTGCGAGGACGCATCTTCCGGGAGGGGGAGTAATGTCAGGATTCTGGACTGTCTGTGTCGTGTTTTGCCCCTGTTTCTGTTCCTGTTTGTCCTTATTTGGTCATGTTCCTGTCCTCGTTTAGTTTGATTATTAGTTGATTCCCCACACCTGTCTATCCTTCGTCAAGTCTAGTATATAATGTGTAGTCTGCCTCATGTTTCTTTGTCAGATCTACTAAGTTGTGTTCGTGTCATTCCTCGTTCCTTGTTCCTGAGTTGGATTTACCCCCTGTGTCTTGGATGTAATAAAGACATTTATTACTAATTATTGTTTTCTTGGGGAGATTCCATATAACATTTGATAATCAGGCGTAATCTTGCTAGTATCTTATATTTGTAGGAGACTTACTGACCTTTACACACAGTCATGAGAGTCTACTACAGTCTTTTTTGTGCAATTTTCTGTAATTTTATTTATTTTATCATGATAAATATTTAGGCTTAAGCAAGAATAAGAACAAGTGACTTCATTCTGAATTTTCTTTAAGCATGTTGTCTTCTTACGTAATGTTATTAACCAAGTAAAATTCTGGGATTTGACAGGTTTTGTTTGGTAGGAACACATGAGGAAAAATGTCATGAGTATTGAGAAGCAAAGTGTGAACGCCTAAGGCTGGGTGGTCTGATGTTGTGTAAGAGTGTCACACAGCCTTTAATGCAGCTCCATCTGCAGAGGACCAGAGTGAAACCTGGTCCTCTGAAAACTTTCGGAAGCCCTGTCTCCATGGTGACGGTCTTTCGCCCTGACCCCCAGGACAGGCTCTTCACTGCATTGCCATTCAAGACGACAAACGCTTGTTGCTTGAGGAGAGTTTTTGCTGTATGTCTCCATGGGGTTTATTTTCTCACAAACACCCTCCATTATTATTCATTAGCAGTAATGTGGATTATACTTCAAGATATGATGGAGCAGAGGGAATGACATGTGCTGCAGGTTTGAGCTAGTTATAGAGTGAGGGAAAGAAGATCTGTTTCAAAACCTAGTGAGCTGCTGTGCTGTCTACATGGGCAGCTACCTTCACAAGTCATTGATCTGAAATGCATGCCACACAAATGTGATGTTTGCTTACAGTAATAGCAATTTATAAGGATATTAATAATAACTATTTGCTTATTAACATGCATATTACTTGCATATTGGCTGGTTATTAGTAGTTATAAAGCACATATCGATGTCTTATTCTGCATGACCATATTTTAGATCCCTTAATTCTACCTCATACCTAAACTTAACAACTACCTTACTAACTATTAAAAATCAGTAATTAAAAGTTTGCTAAAGTCGTAGTTAATAGTGAGAACTGGTCCCCAAACTAAAGTGTGACCACGTGTCTTCCTTTCATACATTTTAATGACTGTATTCACATCTTCGACTGCGGTAAAGCAGATAAACGATTTAGAACAGATACCTTTTTACATGCTTGTTAGATTTGATAAAGCACATCAGGCTTATTCATATACTGTAGCATATTTCACATGCACCAGTAATTTAGTTTCACCTTCTCTCAAAGCGCAATATGAAGCATAGCCTTAATGTCTTGCATATGTGGAATATAAAATCCCCCCCTTCTGACCTATTACAACAAGTGTCAGTTGCTTTGGAAGATCGAGAGAAGACATGAAGATATGAGACAAGATATGGTCTCTGTCCTGCTTGTGTCCCACAGCCCTCTGAAAGCGCAGAGCGGTAATGTAACGAAACATTACAGTAATATTACAAAAGTGTGACTAGTCGACTAATGGATTAAATGAAGTACTAGAAATCAATCAGGAAAATCTTCGGTCGGATAATTACACAAGTAAGTATTGAGTAATGTTAATTAACTACAACATGTATTTACTATAAGGTTAGGGGTTGGTTTAAGGTTAGTTGCTAGTAATTACACATAATGTACTGTCACACTTTATTTTAAGGTCCAATTCTTGCCATTAACAAACCATTAACTTCAGCCTTTGCCTCAATAAACTCCTAATTTCTGCTTATTAATATTTAGTAAGGTAGATGTTAGTTTAGGTATTGGGTAGGATTAAGAATGTAGAATATGGTCATGCAGAATATGCACTTTATAAGTACTAATAAATTGCCAATACATAATATGTATGCTAATAAGCAACTAGTTAATAGTGAGAATTGGTCCCTATACTAAAGTGTTGCCATTCGTTTAATGTCAAAAATAGATAAATGATCAAATAAAATAAATAAATAGAGTCATAACTGCATAAATACATCTAACTAGTTGTTTTAGCAGTTGTAAACATGAACACTACTTGCAAGCAAGCAAACAAAATAATGCCATGTAAGGGAATATAGAGTGATCAGTTTGCAATTTATTTGAGGTTTTCAGAGCCTGTCAGCAGTTTTGCCATTACAGTTGGTCTCCATCAGCAATGTGCAAATTTGCCAAACTGAGCATCATCTTTCTGTTACTGTACTAAACACCCCAACAGCACAGGTTTAACAGAAGTGTATGACAGAATCCAGAATATTGCAATAGTAGGTATAACTGGCTGTTTTTAAATATTAATAAAAAAATTAAAAAAAAGCTTTTAGAATAGCAAAGTCATCTGTTATCAGTAAATTGGTATTTTTCCCATCCATAAACTGTTACTAGATAAACCAAGAGTTGATTGATTTGATTTCACTCTGGGATGCTTTGGCATCATTTCAATAATGCATCACCAAATCAAAGTCAGACACAAACTGAGACAGACAGACAGACAGACAGATCTTCAAAGCGTTTATCTGATGGAGTCTACATATTAATAGGAGGAAAGATTTGTAAGTGCCAACAAGCAAATTGCTGGCAAACGAACAGCAGTTCAAAAGTCTGGGGTCATGAGATTTTTGAAACAAATCTAAGATGCTCACCAAGGCTGATCAAAGATACAGTAAAACAGTAATATTGTGAAATATTATTACAATTCAAAATAACTGTTTTCTATTTAAACATATTTTAAAATGTAATTTATACCTGTGATGCAAGGCTGAATTCATTACTTCATTACTGCATTGTCACATGATCCTTCAGAAATCACTCTAGTATGCTGATTTGTTGCTCAAGAAACATAATTTCTTACTATTATCACAATTAAAACGGCTGTGCTGCTTAATAATTATTTTTTTTGTGGAAACAGTGACAAGTTTTCTTTGATAGATTAATAGATCATTTTACAGAACAGGATTTATTTGAATGATAATTAAAAAAACAAAAAAAACAATGTCACTTTTGATCAATTTAATGAATAATAATAATAATAAAAAAACACCCTCCTGACCCCAAGACTTCTAGAGGGTATTGTGATGTGAACTCTAATGGCAGTAGCTGCAGTGACTGTAAGTGGAGCTGTCCGTGGTGCTGATCACTGCTCTACATTATGTAAGTCTGGTAAGACGGCAATGGTTTTAGTGCAATTACAGATTCCAGGAAAGCTTTTCAAATGTGAAGGGAAAAAAAATTGTACAGCAAGAAAATCCATTTTAAAGGTTTTTGTGCATTCCAGAACCCTGGGCTATTTTTTTTATTTATTTATTTTTTCAAATGCATTAAAACCATTTTGAGCAGAGAGCTTTAAACTGTCCAGGTGTCAAACAGAAGTTGATTTATCCTGGCAAAACCAGAAAATGTAAGCAACTTTAATTTCAAAAGATGACTTGTAGGCTAGTTATGCATCAAAATGTTGTAAAGCAAGAGCGCTTGTTCAAATCATTAACCCTCAGTAACACTAATAGTGCGTTCTAAACACAAATGTGTGCTAATCACAATGTATCCCTCTTTTCTCATAAGTGTGTATCCGCACTGAAGCAGAACAAGCAAACTCTTTAAATATATGAACGAGTATGTAATACTAGGCTTGCAAACGTCTCCGTGTGTCCATTAGGTGTGTTTCTGGAGCATTTGCAATTACGTTCTTGCTGTGGGGTGTAAAATTAAAATGCGAACACAAACCTACAGTCGGCTCCATCAAATTAAAGCAGGCCACAAACTGAGTCTCACAATCCAACAGCATGGTCCCCATCCGCATACAGTTTCTGTTTTCCAGCATTCCTGTCAACATGACCGCTCTGCATTTCCCAAAAGTCAGCAGGCAGCAAAACCCACCACACCTCAATCGAAACTGCTGGAGCAGAATCATGCGTTGTCCACTAACACACACTTCCAGCAGTGCTAATGGAGTGCAGGTCAGCAGGTGTGTGAGGACACGGGAAGCGTGAGAATAGAGAAAAATAACAGTGCAGCGAAGGACACAGGAGATTCGCTTTCATTCACACCTGAGTGAAGCAACAGATTAAGTAGTGGCACACGGAGCACAAAAGCCAAAGAGAGAAGACCCTTTTTCTTTCTTCTTCCCCCAGAAAATAAATAAATCTGAGATGGCGACCGCTGGGACCGGGAGATGAGGTGATATCTGCACAAAAGGTCAGCCGCAGGAAGTGGACGTGGAGCAAGAACAAGGGAAATGGAAGGCAAAGTGTCAGTGGATAATTGTCTTCCATGATGGCTATTCAGATCAAAAGTAAGCACCCCACGACTCTGACGGGAGAAAATGGCCACCTTTGTTCCTCGTTCCGGGTGGGCCGACCTGGTCATACGCCCCCCTCTAGGCTGGAAAAGGTCAGTGAGTGTGTGTTTCTGTGTGTGTAGAGCGACTGAACTTACAGCAGGGGTAGTTTAACAGCACTATATCGTCCAGGCCGATGTAACCCTTCTGCTCCGATGAGATTGTGGCTTCAAAAACAATCTGCAAGGAAATAAATGAAAAAGTAAGACAAAAAAAGAAGAAAAGACAGCAAGGGAAAAAAACACAGTAGGTACAAAATGTTTTTACAGTTTGCCGTGTTACAGAAAGTTTTTTCATGTGAAAAAGACATGATAAACTGCCAACACTCGGCATGGGAGACGCACACGATAACAAGGGTGCAGCCTCTAACCTTAACCAGGCTCATTGGAAATACATGCCTCGACCTCAAAACTTGCCTTCTTCAAATACATGCCTTCTTCAAAACTCAAAAACGTTCCTATACATACCAATCGTTGCTGTTTCCAGTTGAAATGAACACTAGAGGCAGTACAATGTTTACTCCTTTTCACACAAATATGATTTACAGAGTTTCCATGAAGAAAGCATAATTTTCCGCACATTTCTTTTCACAATATTATGACTTCGAAACCATTTTAACATTCTGTGAGAGACTTTTGAATGTACAGCTTCATATATGTATATATAGATTTTCTAATGCAGTATGTTTGCTCGGTGGCTCACACCATACGGCATTGCATTTGTGTGGTGAATCCTGTAAACTACGGGTCAACAAAAAAGCCCATCCCCCTAAACCTCACTCTGATCAGGGTCACGGCACCAATGTAACTGGTTCTACTTGCACCACTCCAGGGGATTCGAATCAGCATAAACCTGATGGTTTGCTAAGGTAAGTCACATGTACCGCTGCAAGGCAAAATTTCATTGAGCAAAATCGAATCATTTCAATAGAGATCTGTATATAGTCTAGGGTTTCGTGAGAGGACGAAAAAGTTCCCCATGCAGATTTGGCTCATGTCAAAGATAAAGATGGTTGGTCTTAAAGTTACTTCTGTTGTGTTAGACTTTTGGGTCCCACTTTATATTAGGTGGCCTTAACTACTGTGTACTTACATTTAAATTAATAATTTGGAACAATGCACTTATTGTTTACATACATGTTTTTACATTGTACTTATATTTTTTTAAATACCTATATGTAATTACATCTGTAATTCATTTATGTACTTACATTTATAATTACACTGTTGACCCATCCCTTACACCTTAACCCACCCTTAAACCTACCATACCACCAAACCTGTCCCTAACCTTATACCGTATCCCACCTCAATAGCAGCAGAAGTGTTTTACAATACAATATGACCTCAATAAGTACATTGTTCTTTTTTTGATGCAAGTACATAGTAGTTAAGGCCACTTAATATAAAATGTGACCAACTTTTGCATTGTTATTTCGATGGACAAGGTAATAAAAATTGATATTACCTATCATTTTAATTTTCATATTTTAATGATAATAAACCATGCAACAGCTTGAGTTCATTCACATTTGTAATTTTTGTCCAGCCAAAAAAAAAAAAAAGTCCTATGGCAAATAACATCAGCTTTTGGCTCAAGGGACTTATATTCTAGATACAGATCTGTTGATATTTGCATTATTTAAAACATATTTGCACTATACTTAACTAGCATCGTAAGTACAACAGCTGTAATTATAATTACTATAGTAGCACACCCTTGTGATTGTCATTAAACCAGAAGTCCCATATCCCACTATCATTATCGTTATAATCACTGTAGTCGGGTTGACTATTGCATTGAAGCATGTGAATAAGCAGAATGCTTTTTCTTTTCAATTTGTTGCTTTTTCATTTTATTCTTGATGTGAACAGGCCAGCGTGTGCTCTTGAGTGAGTGATTGAACTGTGTTTGCTCCCAAAGGTATTTCCCATGCTGCCTCTTGCTTCAAGCAGATTCATTATTCTTTGCTCTCTCAATAAACAATACGATCTTGGCTAACTCAACTACATAATTGATCACTTACACGCAGTTCTGCCTACCCACAAGCTAGCGTTTGTTCATGTAAAATGTTGCGCGGGCATTCGCTGAGCTAAAGGCATCATGATTCAGCACAACAATCTCCCTGTTTTGACCTACCGATGAATTCGACTCAAGACTTGCGCTCTGCTGAGAATACAGATCTTGCTCTCTAGTGGCCAATTACACTGCAAGTACCCCACATCACTCATCCATTTACACAACTTTAGCCATTATGCTAACAAAGGGAAGACTGCCTCCCCGGCTGTTTCATTGTTGGACAGGCACAGATAGCTGATAGATGTCCTACCGCTCTGAATCAAACAACAAACGAGCTGGCAGCGCTAACAGCCAGCCAATCAAAGCCGAGCTGCAGCGAGCGAAGAGACCTGACGGTGCAGCAGGGTTTCTGTGCATGCCGTCCTTATCGCCACAAACATATTTAGCGATGTTTGCTAAAGCAAGCAAAACTATTACTAGTTTTGAACGAGCCACCCTCTTTAAGTATTGAAATTCACAGAGGCCACTTGGTAAACCAATTAAATTGTGGCAGTGATGTACATTCAAGCATAATTCGCATTTATTTCAAGGAAATGTACAAATATAGTTTCTTATTTGCTTCTGTGCAAGACACGGAGCAGATTAGCTGCTGATTCAGGTCTTTATCAATTGGCTGTCTTTATGCCCAAACCCTGTCTTGTTAAGATTTGACACATCAGTCACCGAGAGGGAATGACAGAGTGGAAGAGAATCATTTGTGGAAGCAGAGTGATAGACAGAAAGAGGGCCAACAGAAAAATAAAGGCACAACTGGGGACATGTTAACTTGGATGGGTTGTGCTAAAAGAACTGCATTACAGTTAGAGTATTAAACTGTAGAATGGATGTCTATGGGACACACAGCATTGCACCAAACTGACTTTTATAAAAGTATGGCCAAGAGACTAAACACGATCATGAAAAATGAGAATAATGTGATTTCCGAAGGATCATGTGACACTGAAGACTGGAGTGATAATGCTGAAAATTCAACTTTGATCACAGGAATAAATTACATTTTTAAACATATTCAAATAGAAATTATTACAGCTATTTCAAAGTGTAATAACATTTCACAAAATGTGTAATTTCACAATACAAATGTAAATTCGCTGTATTTCTAATACAAAAATAATAATAATTGCCGCTTTTGTGAGCATAAGAGACTTCCGTTTAAAAACAAAAAAAATCGTACTGACCCCAAAGTTTTAAATGGTAGTGTACAAATATATTAGACAACTGTCTTGTGTATTTTTACATTAATACATCACCCAGACAGTATTGTATCATATATAAATCGCTTTGATGCAGTGAATAAAAAGTAGTGGTGTAAATCAGATGGTTAGTCACGATATAATATGATATTGATACTCATACCCATCGATAAGATATTTGCCAATACCTCAAAAAAATCTACGATAAGAATATGATACGATTCGATTCGTATATCGATCGATTTAGCGATATTATGTACCTATTTTAAACACCCCTCTACATTTTTATTAACTCACAAATGCAACCAAAATATGTAACATGAACATTTGTATCTGAAATTTCCACATCCTGTACCTCAATTGGCACATTCACAACAAAAACAACAAAGCCTACACTCGAAAGCACGGATGCAATGTACTGATACACAAGATGTGCATTTCTATGTAATTTTGTCTGTATTTGTTCTTCCAAGCACAAAAAAAGCAGAAGTGAACTCATTTCAGTATTTGCGCGCTGTTTGAGATGCGGCTGTCTGCGTGGGAAAACTTCTCACATCGCTCGACAATTCTGTCAACTATCCCGGGCTTCTTTTACGCTCGCCTTGTGCATTCAGGCAGTCTTATTATTGAGTCCTGACACGTGAGTTTCAATGAGAATGAATGCAATGCAAAGACGGACATTGCGTCAAAATGTGGACAGTGCCAAAATAAGGTGCCTATTTATCCTACAGATATCAATATTTTGCGCATGGCATCGAAACATCGTATCGTTAGGCCTTTGATCAATGTATTGATCCATATAGATAGATTGTTACACCCCTAATAAAAAAGCATCTGCAAAATAAATATATGCAAATTAAATGACTTTCTCCAGAGGGCACCTCGGCCCAGGAAGGAAAAGGGGTTAGTGTTTTGGGCCATTGTGCACATCCCTGATATATGTACAGTATGTGTACACAAAACATTAGACGAAACAGAAGGGCTGGTAGTATTGTTAATATTTGATAAAGACTCCTTGTCATCTCCAACACCTACAGCACTGACAGCAGCACAATAAACATCAGACGGAGAAAGGTGGTTTTTCAAATCTGCAGCTCACAGTGACTGGCATCCATTTATCTCATTGCTCTTATTTCCTGTTTTCAACCCACCCAAATGTCTGGAGCATCAACATGATAGAGATCAAAATACTGCAGACAGGAAACAATTGCTGGTTGGCATACAAGCAGAAGCGTCTCATTTACACCAGTGGGACGCTGTTGCATACCGCGTATGGATGCGTTTTATCAGGGCAAGCTCAGGAGCACAAACACAAATAACAGAAAAAGTCCTTTTCATGTCTTACAAAAGCCTTGGAAAACCAAGGAATGTTGACAATGCCATTCACGTCTCGCACAAACCCCTGGTGATTCTCTGAGAGACACTCATGCATCTCGACATGAATTGGACCGCACACGCTTTAAAAACCCTGTCAAAACAAAACCAGAAAAGCTCTCAGTAAAGATTCAGTTAATGTTTGGACATCGGACATTTGGGGGACGTTATTCACGAATCTGTTGATAATCATGCTAAAACATACAGTCGGTGGGTCGATGAATCAGATCTGC